GGAGTCCGCCCTCCTATCCCGCCTCGCAGGGGCCCCCCACGGGGTGGATGGGGAGCGAAGGCCTCTTTCCTCCCAACGCAGTGTTTATGAGAAATGAAACTGCACAAGGCATCAGCGGCAGCCCACATTGACACCCTATTCCCCCTCCGGGGTTCCGGAACAGCCCCGGGCTCTGCAGTGAGTCCTCGGCCGCTCACAATGGCAGGGCCCCCTAGTGCTTTCCCAGCCAGCTGCAACCTCCCACTCCGCATTTAGGATTTTTATAACTGCACAACGTTTATTCTGCTGTGTCATATAGCATTTTTGCCAGAGCTGTGAGAGGGGAGGGGATAGACTCGTGCCCCAGCATATCCCCAGGACCAAACCTGGAGCTGACCGCAAGCAGGAGTGTGATTTGTATTTGTTGAATGAATGAAGAAACTTTGTCCTTTCTCTTGAACTTGAACTTGCAGGCAAGGTGAAGCCACCTGGATTCTATCGTCAAGATTTTGGATGCTTTTAGATGATTTTGCCTCTGACTTGTGCTCTGCCTGCTTCCCAGGTTTACTGTGAAAGTAGAGATGATGGCCCTGACTGGTGTCGCTCAGTTGCTTGGGCGTCCTTCAGCGGCCAAGGGGTCGCTGGTTCCATTCCCAGTTGGGGTACATGCCTGGGTTGTGGGTTCTGTCCCCAGCTGGAGGGGTCAGGGTGTGTACGAGGGCCAGCTGATCCACAGTTCTCTCTCACATCGGTGTTTTTCTCCCTCTCTTCCCCTCTCTCTAAAAATGAATAAGCGAAATCTTAAAAAGAGAAGAGAAGAAAATGGAGATGGTGGCTGGGAGGAACTTCGAGCATCTAAGACAGCCCACCATCTGGACCTGCGAGGCTGGAACGCCTGCTGGGGGTTCATCTGCTTTGGGTACTGTGACCTCTTCTCTGGGCAGCAGGCCGCTCAGGGACCCCGGGCAGCCCTCCTCTCAGAAACTCAGTAAAGCCTCATGGGTCCTGCACCTCAGGACTAACTGGACCCACCTCGGGGAGAACAGTGTGTTCCGAGAGGCTGAAGGAGGGGACAGACTTTGGTCCATTGAGAAGGAGGCTCCCACAGGGCTCATCTTGCCTCCAGCAACGTGACTGGCAGCCAGTCGGTGCGTCCGCCAGCCAGCTGGGGACAGCCCAGGGCCTGGTACAGAGCGGCCACGCGATGTTCCGGGAATGACCCCGTAGACGGGAGGCATCCTGGGAGCCCCGGCTCCAGAGCTAAGCCCCGGCCGACTCCAGCCGCAGGTGTGAGCAACTCAGGTCTCTGGCAGAAAAATGCAGAGTTCTCCAGAAGCACCACCCAGAATGTGATAAGTGGAGACAAGACAACATGAAAGAAAGTTAAGGGCGAGGGGGTCCTGAGGAGGGGAATGACTTCTAGCTGGCTGCTTTGGGGGTACTTCAGAGACCAGGCATTTGCTCTGGGCCCTAAAACCGGGGCTGAAATTGAAGTGTGGGGAGGGGTAGAGAGAGGGGAGAACTGAAATTGGGGGTGGGGGCGGCAAGGAAGAGTGTTGCCAAGTCAGGGTTGAGGAGAAAATGGAAGGAACAAAGACGTGGCGGGGGGAGGGGGAATACAGCAAACAGAATGGAAATGCAGTGAAAGAGTCATGCATCTCTGTTAATACTACAATGTCATGTGACTAATGTTTTATAGTGTAGAAAAGAGTTTGACAGTCTATAGAATTTCATTTTCACAAGGGGGAGATGGACTAGAGTATCTCTGTTTTACAGATGAGAACACTGAGGCTCCGTAAGGGCCTGCCCAAGGTCACACGGCAAATAGCAGTGGCACAAGAACCCAGGCTGTTCGACTCAAATTCTGTGTTCTCTTCCACTGCCCTCTCGTTACTGCCAGGGGTAGGGGAGCTGTGGGGAGAAAGTGGGAAGGAGACTCTCGGGACCAGTGTAAGCAGCAATTTGAATGTGGGGCTGAGGAGGCTGGGAGAACTCCGAAGGCTCCAGGGGGAACCTGAATGTTATGGGGGTGGTCCAAGTTAGGGAGGTGGCCCTGGTGCAGAGGCACCCGGAGGGGCGGGCCCCCGGGAGGCTGTGGCAGCACTGTCTGTTCCTGGAGGTCACAACACAACTTGGCATAGGAGAAGGAAGCCCCGGAAGTCCAGGTGAGGCAAAGAGGGGTAGAGGGAGGATGGCAAAGGCTTCAGGAGAGAGGGAGCTGGAAGTAGGCCAAGAGAGAGCTGCTGGGGCCCATATGGGAGGGGAGGCTAGGAGTTTGCTTGTATGTGTGTGAATCTGTGGATAGGGTTGCAGGGAAGTGTCTGCAAGTCCACCAGAGCTTGAGTTTGGACATCACCTACCCAGAGGGGATGCCTGCAATCACAGAGGATGAGTATTTTGAGTCAGAGATGAGAAAGGTCCAGCCCTGAATGACTAAGAAAAACCTAGGGAAGGCTCTGTGTTCTGCTTAGCATTACAGGGAATATGGGATACATTTTAGAATAGGATTCATCAAGAGCAGTTACAATAAAAAATGTGAGGTACATCAGCCCTGGCTGGTGTGGCTCAGTGGATTGAGCACCAGCCTGTGAACCAAACGGTCACTGGTTCGGTTCCCAGTCAGAGCATGTGCCTGGGTTGCAGGCCAGGTCCCTGGTGTGGGGTGCCTCAGAGGCAACCACACATTGACGTTTCTCTCCCTCTCCTTCTCCCTCCCTCCCCCTCTCTCTAAAAATAAATAAAGGAAATTTTTTAAAAATGTTAAAAAAAATCTGAGGTACTTCAACGAAGTATAGCTTTATTTTGCCAGTTTGGAGTATTGCACCCCCAATCCCAATAAGCAGATTCTCTCATAGGCTTCTGGATACTATAGAATCCCTAAAGTTAAAAGTTAAAAAAAGTCAAAGAACACTTCAGAGATGTAAATGACAATTTCATTGGTAAATCCTCACATCGGGGAATTTCTCCTAAGCAAAAAATTATTGATGTGTGCAAAGATTTAGCTACACAGTGTTGTTTGCATTATGAAAAAATGGAAATAACCTAAATGTCCTACAATAGGGGATTAGTTGGGTAAATTTTTATTTATCCTTATGATAGAATAATATGTACCCAATGCAAATGGTATTGCGGAAATACATTTTGTGACATGGAAAGATGCTCGTTACATATACATATACACCTACTGATGATTTTCTGTTGTAAAGCACATTGTACAGTCTCCTGTTGCCTTCACAGGGTCATCCGATCAATTCGTCAGACCACACGACATGCACACTTCCTCCCCCTAATCTCATTCTGAATTTTTCGGTAGTTGTGTCAGGTTCTCCGGGAGAGGCCAGGCATCCACCTGCTGTACAGAGAATAGACCTCCCAACTCAGGAGCCAGTTGCTTCTGCTCTTTTTGCTCTGAAGATCTTGGTCTCCATAGTAGGTTCCCATTCTCACCTGTCACTGAAAGCACCCCAACCTTTCCTGGCCTGCAGCACCTTCCATTTTGCTTAACACCCAGCTGGGTTCACCCCTCACAGTTCCTCCCGCCTCCTTGCCTCTCCCAGCTCCTGCACCCGCCACCAGAATTGGCTTAGCCCGCCCATCTCCCTCGGCTGGGGGCAGGCGGCGGAGCGACTGGGGGAACGCTGCTGCATCCATGTGCCTGTGGCCCGCGCAGTTGCATCAGGGCGCTGCCGGGAGGGACTGCGGGGATGAAGGGCTGACACACCATCCCTGCCAGAAAAGAGGGTTTACTTCTGAGTCGGCACCTTTAGGGAAGTGAAGGAAGGAGCCTGCTGGGGCAGAGTTCTGGGTGGAAAATGAACACTCAACCCAGCGTCTAGCAGTGCACAGGTAAGGCAAGGTCGAGTCGGAAGCGCAAACGTTAACTAGCTGCCCTTCCCAAGGGGCCTGGGACCTGGACTCCCCAACCCTTTGGCTTAGACCCTTAGGGCCTCGGCCAGCCCTAAGAAATTCCCCCATGCTGCCCAGAACCTCGGTGGGCCAAGCCCCAAGGACCCGCAGCCCACTGAGGAGCGGCCACGCAAGGGCCACGTGAGGCTGTGGCGGTGGCCTAAGGCAGGAGTTCTAGGACAAACCCGAGGCTACCCCCTCAACTCAGCAGTCCTTTCTTTTCCCTTTCCCCCGAGGCCCGCTGTGGGACAGTCCCAAGGAAGTACACCGACAACGGGGAGAGGCGTCTCCCTGGTCTCTCTGAGACTCTGGCTAGGGATTTCGCAAACCACACAGCATCTGCTGTCCAAGTGGGGCATAGTGCTTAACAGATACCATCTCTCTGTCGATGTAAACCAGCGAGGTAGGGTGATTATTTTGCAGTTGAAGACAGTGAGGTCGCGAGTCCCTTGGCGAGCGGCGCCAGCAGCGCCAGGAGCGCTCGTCTGGGGTTTCCTTTCGCCAGGCGGCTCCCCAGGCAGAGCAGGCTTTCCTTTGCTTCCCCAGGGCAGGTGAGTGACCTGCAGGTGGGTCACCCCTCAAGAAGCGCAAGGGCTGAAACCTCCCTTCTGGACATCCCACTCGCGGGCTTGAGGACCCAGGCTGATTTTCAGGAACTCAGTCCCGGTGTCCACTCCGAAGAAGCGGCAGGTGCCCGGCGGGCCCCTCACCTGCGCTCCGGAGACAGACGCCTTCCCGGCCCCCGCCCCGCCCCGCCCCGGAGAGGAGGGTGAGGAGATGGCCTCTGGAGCTAGCAGGCGGGAGAGTGCGGACTAGAGGAGTAGTTGCGGGGAGCGCTCGGCTTTCCTGGACGGCCTGTCTCGCGGGCGAGCTGCGGGTGGGGGTGGAGTAGGAGTCGCGAGGGAGCCCGCGGGCGGTGGCGGAGGGGGTGGGGAGTAACAGCCGCCCTGTACTTCCCCTTGCTTCTAGCTCTACAACAGCCTGATTTCCCCGAAATGATGGGGCGGCGCCGGCCAATAGGCGCCCTCGCGGCCCTCTCGGAGGCGGGGCCGGGCCTGGGCTGGGGAATCCCGCTAAGTGTTTAGAGCGCTGTCCGGCGCCACCGTCCCGGCATAACGCGCCACTCCTTCGCTGAGGCTGGTCGTACGCAGGAGCTCGGCTGAGCAGTCTAGCGGGTGCCGTGTGCAGCCAAGACCAGCCATACTCAGTGGCCCCGCGACCCGGGCATCCTCTGCTTTCTCCCCGTTCCCACCCGGAATCGCGCTCGCCGCGTCGGGACCCTCGGACACAGCCACCGAATCGCGCCAGCTGCAGAGGTGAGCCCTCCTTCGCCGCTGGGGGGACCGGTGGCATTGAACAAAGGCGCACGGGGCACCAGGAAGTGGGGGCTGAAAACCCCAGGCGGGAGAGTCGCGGGCGCGCGGCGTTGCCTGGTCCCCGCGCGGACTCGGGAGGGCGCTGGAGGAGCGGCGGATTGCAGCGCGGGGAGGGCGGGCCGCTGCGTGGACCGCCCACCCGCCGCGGTTGCAGCGCGCGGCAGCTTTCTCAGATCTGTGTGCGCGTAGCCACCGAGGTCCTCTGGCTGGCCGGGTATGTCCGTTGCGCGCATCCACAAGCCGCGCGGGCCACTCCAGTGTACGTCCGTGCGTGGGTGCCCCATGCCCTGTGCTTCGCGCTCCGCGCCCCGGCCCCAGGTTTCAGGCTGTTTATGCAGATGGCAGGGGTTGAGACTTGCTACCGTGGGTGGCTGGTGGACCTGCCGGAGGAGCGGGAGGAGACGCCACAGGTGTCCTTTGGGTCCTTTCGCCGAGGATAGGAGCCAGGCCAGAAGGGAGAAGGGGTTAGCCTTTCGGCCTCTGCACTGTGGCTGTCAGGGAGGCGGAGAATAGATGGGCAGGGGTGGGGGAAGAGGATATCTCCCGTGCAGGGCGACGGCTTGCCCAGTAGGGAAAGCGCACAGCTAGGGGCAAGAACTCAACTAGGGAAATTTCTTGGCATCAAGCAAAGGAAGCCCCTCCCTTCCCAAAGGATCTGAATCTGGGGACAAAAGTTCTGGTATTAAGATACCTGTGTATTTTGTCTCTTTTTCATCCACATACATCCTGCAACTATCACTTGCATGCCAGGACTGTCCAGAAGGGGGTGAGGGAAGGGGCAGAAGTGGTTTTTCCCAAGATGCTGAAAAGATTTGGAGGACAGTTTTATTTCAGTAAAAGCCTCCTCCCCCATGATGATAGTACCTGCTACCTGGCTGAGGGCAGGGGCGGGTCACTGAATGACCTGGGGCGGGGCGGGGCAGGGCCGTGCCCAGGGCCTGCTCAAACGGACTCCCAACAGGAGCCTTCTGTCTTCTCTTTACAGCCAACATGCCCATCACTCGGATGCGCATGAGACCCTGGCTAGAGATGCAGATTAATTCCAACCAAATCCCAGGGCTGATCTGGATTAATAAAGTGAGTGTAACTCTTTGGGGTTTTCTGCTCCATTTTAACCCAAAGCTTCAGATGCTGCTGAAAAAGGGAAGTGGTAGGGAGGAGGCAGATGTGTTTCCCAGTGGGCCCTGCAGGCAGGGAGTGTGCGAGCCCCAGCCCCAGGCCCCGCTTGCCTGACTCCCGCCTCTGTCCTGGAGGTAAGGACAGGGTGCCCGGCAGAGGTCCTTGACAGTTTCCAGCAGTTGGACCCCCCAGCGTCTGAAGAACTGCAGTTCTGGTCCCTCCCGAGGGCGAGTCCTGGGAACACACACAGCATCCCTCAGAGCTCCAGTCAGGCAGATGGCACTGCTGGCAGGAAGGTGACGGGCTTACCAGGTGACCCAGGAGTTAACCTCGCACCAGTTGCCCAGGCCTAAGAAGCCTCTTGCTGGTGCACAAAGGGCAATACAGACCCTGCCGACGTAGTAGCAGCAGCATTCACAGGGACAGCTCCTGCACACTGTGCGCTCACTACACGTGAGTGTGGCTCCTTGCCAACTAAGCAGGTTACTTGCATTGTGTCATTTAATCCTCGAAATAGTCCTAGGAGGTAGATCCTATTAATACCTCCATTTTCAGCTAAGGAAACTGAGGAAACTGAGGTAGAGAATGGCTTTGAGGCCAGGACTTGAACCTGAGCAGTCTGATTCCGAAATCCACACTGTTAACCGCTAGTAATGACAACAGTGAGACCTTAGTCCTTATATTTGTCAGTGCGTTTTCTCACTTCACAGAAAACAGTGAGGGACAAAGCGGAACATTGACAGCCCCAGGGTCACACAGGAAGTCAGCATCCAGGTCTGGCCCAGGGCCCCCTCAGGTGTACGGCCAGAACCCCCAGTGCAGGAGCCGGTCACCCAGCTGTCCTGAGCAGCCCCATCTAATGGACAGAGTTGTCATTTCCATGTTGCTGACAAGCCCGGGAAGCATCCCCGCGAGGGCACCTGTAACAGGCAGTGGGCGGAGGCCCTTGCTGAGCTGGTCCTGCCGCGGCCCATCAGAACCCATAGCCCCTCCTGAGAGACTCAGAGCGATTAGGCAGCCTGTCTAAGCAGCCTCAGGACAGGTCACCCCGAGCCAGCTGTCGGGGGGAAAGGGGAAGTCAGCCTTTTCCCAGGCCTGGGGGGGCTGGGGAGACTTGGGCTGAAAGCCTGTGGTCTCTGAGCTGACACGACCTTGTGTACACGTGTGTGCTGTCCAGGAGGAGATGATCTTCCAGATACCATGGAAGCACGCCGCCAAGCATGGCTGGGACATCAACAAGGACGCCTGTCTGTTCCGGAGCTGGGCCATTCACACAGGTGTGTGGCTCTTGCCCAGGAGGAGCCAGGGAAGGGAAAGGGGAAGCGCTTCTGTGAACGCGGAGGCTCTTCGCTGGGCGCTCTGCCTCCCTTGATGGCGTGCTGGATTGGGGGCTGGGCGGCGGGCAGACCTGCCTGTATTTCTGGGGAGAGAGGCCATGGCTTCAGGGAGTCTATGGCTGGATTCAAGGTCTCCCTGGCGAAAGCAGCTATGAGCTGGGACATTAAAAGAGACTCAGGCCTAACTTCTCTTGATGTTGACCGAGGTCCTTGGCCCAAGGCCCGTCTGGTGGGTGGCCTCCTTTTATTCTTGAGGGATGGGGCTCTCGGGCCACCTCACACCAGTCAGCCCACCTGTCAGTAACTGTTCTTTGGTGTTTACTCTGTGCCCACTCCCATGTTTGGCCCCGACCCACCCTCTGGCTGCCGACAGCTCAAGCAGCAAGTCTGGCCAACGTCCAGGACAAGGGTACTTGTGGATGTGTGGGCCCTCTAGTGCTTCTGGCCGGCCCTTGCGTGAGGCCAGCTGGACGTGTGTGCACACAAGCCTGGGCATTTGGGAAGCCCCAGGGTCCAGGGCCTGCAGAGTGTCACGCAGGAATGCTGCTCGTTTGGTCAGCGAGGATCTCTGGCAGCAGGCGACCTTAGGAAACTCTTGCCTGCCTCGTCCCGGGCCAGGGGGCAGCTGAGGATCCCCACCTGTGGCCCTGACGATCCTCTTCACTCTCCTGCCCGCTAGGCCGATACAAAGCAGGGGAAAAAGAGCCGGATCCCAAGACATGGAAGGCCAACTTCCGCTGTGCCATGAACTCCCTGCCAGACATCGAGGAAGTGAAGGACCAGAGCAGGAACAAAGGCAGCTCAGCTGTGCGGGTGTACCGGATGCTCCCACCCCTCACCAAGAACCAGAGGAAAGGTATTCAAGGACTGTGGGTGCTCAGGAAGCCCTCAGGGAGGGAGGAACCGAAGGAGAGAGGAAGGGCGGCAGGCGGCTGGGGCTGGTGTGCCTGCAGCAAGGCTGACAACCCGTATCATCCCACAGAGAGGAAGTCCAAGTCCAGCCGAGATGCTAAGAGCAAGGCCAAGAGGAAGGTAAGTGTCCCAAGCAGCCGGCCTTTGGCCCCCTGGGGGTCAGGCTGGGCAGTGGAAGAAGAGCCTCAGCAGCCCGGCCTGAGCTTCCCTCTCTCCGCAGTCATACGGGGACTCCAGCCCTGACACCTTCTCCGATGGCCTCAGCAGCTCCACCCTGCCTGATGACCACAGCAGCTACACGGCTCAGGGCTACATGGGGCAGGACCTGGAGGTGGATCAGACCCTCACTCCAGGTGAGACGGGCGGGGCCTGGCAGGGACCATGCACGTCGGGGGAGGGGCGCCCCTTTCTCCTGGGTCTGGGAGGCTTCGTGCTTTTGGGGGGTGGCCTGTGGGAGTGGCTGCGGGGTCGGGGACGCTGGGTGTCGCAAACCAAGGGAGCACACGGCTCTGACCTGTGATGTCTGCCGTCCTGAAGCGCTGTCGCCGTGCGCCGTCAGTAGCACTCTCCCCGACTGGCACATACCGGTGGAAATTGTGCCGGACAGCACCAGCGACCTGTACAACTTCCAGGTGTCGCCCATGCCTTCCACCTCTGAAGGTTTGTTCCCCTGGGGTCCAGCCTGCCCACCTGGCTGTTTGGGTCTTGGGAGGTGTTTCCTGGGGGAGAAAAGATGCTCCGAACTCCATCTGGCACAGCGCTGACTGCGCTGGGCTGCAGAGAAGAGGAAGGGGGCCCGGGGCTGCATGTTGGTCTAAGGTTGCTGGTTCTCCTGGCTCCTCTGCAGCCCAGCGTGAGGAAGGAAGTGAGGGGGAGGGGAGAGGTGGCTGAGTCACTAGGTCAGTGTTCTGTTCTGGAATCTCCATGGCAGGCAGGCAGATGTCCCCTAGGAGGCCTGTGTGTGCGCGCACGCGTGTGTGAGTGTGAGTGCATGCGTGTTGGCGTAGGGGCAGGGGGACCCACTGGGGCTGGACGTGCAGGGCAAGCCTGGGTGACTGTCAGCCAACCTCTCTGCTGTTCCCTCTCCACAGCCACAACAGACGAGGACGAGGAAGGGAAATTACCTGAGGACATCATGAAGGTAAAGCCCCTTCCTCCCTGGGCACTCTTTAGAAGTAGCTGCTGCTCAGTGAGGAGAGAGAGAGAACCACCGAGAGCTTGCACATCGCGGGGTAGGCAGCTACTGCTGTGAGCTGGCTGCTTGCATGTGGCAGGGACCATTGCCCTCCCTGGCTGGCGGGGCAGACATTGTGGCAGTGAGGACAGGAGGGAGGCCTGGTTTCCAAAAGACTGTCCGGAAGCAGCCCGAGGGCCTCAGCTCTGAGTCAGCCCCGCCGCAAGGACCTCCTGGTCCCTGGCCCCTGCCCCGTCCTCCGCCCAGACATGCCCCAGCCCTGCGAGGCTGAGAAATGCGCATCAGGTTTCAATAATCAGCCTTGGGGATCTGTAATACGGGTGGCCTTTTTTTTTTTTTTTTTTAAAAGCAAATGAATCCTCTAGGGTTTTTTCCTGCTTCAGTTTTAAAGGTGAATATAAAAAAGTTTTTACAGTAGCTGTAAAGAAAGTGGAAACATGGGCACAGTTCCTTATCTCTAGCTCCTCTAAGTGTCTTTTCTTGACTTGCTACGCTAGCCATTGCTTGAAGCCACATTCCCTCCCAGTTGCCATGTCCTTTACCCAGCCGAGAGGAGGGCCTTGGGGACTCAGTGCCAGGGCTTGATGTGGGAGCGAGGGTCCGGGGCCCAGTCCTAAGGGAGCTCCTCACCGTCGGCGGCCTTCGGCCGAGGCCGTGATCCTGGCTGGGAAGCTTTGGCTCCCTGCAGGTGGGGCCCCAGGGTGAGTCTGCGCTGGAAGCGAGCTGATGGCCTCTTGTTCCTCTCTGTCCCCAGCTCCTTGAGCAGGAGCAGTCAGAGTGGCAGCCGACAAATGTGGATGGGAAGGGGTACCTCCTCAATGAACCTGGGGCCCAGCCCACCTCTGTCTACGGAGACTTCAGCTGCAAGGAGGAGCCGGACAGCCTTGGGGGTAAGAAGCCCCTGAGGGAGCAGGGAGAGCCGGGGTGGGCCGTGGCTTGGGGGTGGGGCCAGGGAGCAGCAGAGGTAAAGCATCCTTCTTGGGGACAGACAGCTTGCAGATTGGCTGCTGCTCCCTTTTCCTAGGTCTGCCTAAAGTGAGGGGTGTTGCGGCCGGGGCGGATGGCAGAGACTGCTGTGCCTGTGGCCTTTGGGGTGGGGAGAGGGGAGAGCACAGCTCCCGCACCCCCTTATCCTCACACAACCTTCTTCCCCTCTCCTAGGAGATATCGGGCTGAGCCTACACCGCGTCTTCACAGACCTGAAGAACATGGACACCAGCTGGCTGGACAGCCTGCTGCCCCCTGTCCGGCTCCCCTCCATCCAGGCCATTCCTTGTGCACCGTAGCTGGGCCCCCGGGCCCCTTTTGCTCTCCTAGGCAAGCGGGATCTGGCCTCATGATGGCTGTGGTGCAGAGAAGCAGGACTCCTGCGGGCCCCTTGACATACAAAGTGTGACCCCAGTACCAAGTGGGGATGGGGCCGCCTTCCTTGGGACGGTGGCTTCTCGGGGTGTGGCAGGTCAGGGTCTGGGCTCATCAGGTGGGGTAAATCTGGTCCCACTTCCCGGGAAGATGGGGTTCAGAGACTGCTGGCAGGCGGGGACCTCAACGAGGAGTCAGCCCTCCAGGTTTTCCCTCTGAGCCCAGCTGCCTGGAGAGGATCTCCCTGCCGCTGAGCTGGTCTGAGGGAACAGACCAGTGACCTTGGAGTAGCCCAGCACCAACCCCAGGGCTGGCTCTGCACTAAGAGACAATTGCACTAAGTGAACCCTATTGCCAAAGACACCTCCCTTCCCAGCTGAGCCCTGGGGACTGTTCCAAAGCCAGTGAAATGTGAAGGAAAAACGGGGTCCCGCGGGACAACGCCCCTCAGCCTCAGAGGAGCTCTGCCCTGCTCCTTGCTCAGGCCGAGGGGCTCAAGGGAGAAACATGGCACTTTTCTTGTGGACTTGCCACATCCCAGTCAGAGGTGTACACTAACGTTCCCCCCAGGCTCCCAGCCTGTGCATTTATTTATACAGTGCCTTGCCCTGCGCCCGCTGGCTGCCCTCAGCAGGCCCAGGGAGGGAAGTGGGAGCACCTTGGTATGACTTTTAAAATAAGAAAAGCTTTCTAACCACTAAGTCATGTATGATCACATACATGTGTGTAAATATGTATATTGTCTTTTTATAAAAAGTTCATTGTTCGAAGGTGTGGCGTTTTATTGAGAGAGAAATTGTAGATGATTTTACTTGCTGTGGAGACACTCTGAGGACTCATTCCTGGCGCCCTGCCTGAGCTTGGCTGTAGAATGAGGTGACATGCCCGAACTGCAGAACCCTTTCAATTATGTTCACGGAGAAGATGGCAGGAGGAGGGGACAGCCAGGGCACAGGGACGCGCTCCTGTAAATAAAGTCCGTGGCCTTGGCTTTAGAGGCAAGGCTATGAGTTGAATTTGGGCTCCTGGGGCCTGGGGAGTATCAGGTGCTGAATTCTTTGGGGAAATGTGCCGTTGACCCCACATCGTGCTGAACTCAAGCGCAAGTGCCGCTCCTGAAAGTTAACAGCCAGCACAGCACGGTCATGGACGATCAGAATAGGCACCAGCTGCAAAACATCCCCGAGGCCCGCTGTGCTCTCCCCGTGCCGTGCAGGACAGCGGGCAGGGGCAGAGTCGGTCGGTCGCACGTGCCGGCCGACGGCAGGAAATGTGGCCGATGCAGTGGAGGAGCCGAGTGTTAAATTCCATGAGTTAAGATTTATAGTCCCATGTGACTCGTTATCTACCATATTGGGCAGTAGGGTGGATACTGGCTTGGGGCCAGATCTGAGTGGGCGGAGTGGGGTGGCAAGGGAACATGGGGGTCGGGCTTGGGGCTATTCACCTGCCAATTCAAGAGTTCTTTACCCTTTTGCCAGCCAAGAATAACCATCGGCGCTGAATGCCAGCCCTGCATTGTGCTGCGAAACAGGTCCGTGCACAAATGTGCTTGGAAAACCTCGGGTGACCTCACAGGGAGCAGGCTTCCTCTTCCACGTCTTCTCAGGGTCTGGCTGGGCTAATGCGCTCAGAATCTCTTTGAAGGGCTGTGTTTGATTAGAACAGTGTTTCTGGAAACCACAGGCTGGGAACCATTGACCTATGGGAAAGCCCCCTTCAGATAAACCCTCTTTCAATGAGGACTGAGCGTGAGCGGTCTGGATGTGGGCTTTCCTCGACTCCCTCCCCAGCCTCTGGCCCTGGAGCATAACCAGCACGCAGCAGCAGGCAGGCTGGCCAGGGGCAGCCTGCTGGAATTGCCAGCTTCGTCTAGGGATGCAGCCGCAGCAGTAAGAGGGTTGCTCAGGGAAACCAAGCCCTGTTGACACACCTTCCATATCCTTAGTCCCAGAAACCACTTGCACTGTGATCCCCTCTTTGGACCCAGCCCTCTGGGAGAAGTGGGGGGAGTGGTAGATGGCCTCCTGCTTGTGGGGTGGGGGGTTATCCTGCGTGGGAGGCCTGGACCAACCCCAGTCCCAAGCCCCGCCCATCAGAAGATCCACCTGGCTTTTTTCAAGAGCCTTACCTACGGGCGGAGGGGTGGCCAAGACGCCCTTTCCCGGCTCCTCCAGAGCCCAGCCCTAGCTGAGAAGAATTGGATCGGGGTAACTAGCCAGCTTCCTGTGGCTTCTAACGGGGGGCCTGGCAAGGTCTTCTGGTGGGTGGCTTTTCCAGGAAAAGATGGCTGACGGGGTGTGAAGCCAGGTGGAGCAGACTGAGGAGGGAGAGAAGGGAAGCAATGCAATCCCGAGCTAGCAGAGGCTGCTTCTGACTTCTCTACTTCCCCCTCGCCCTTCAACCTCATCCCCGACAGGCAATATGTTGAAGTGGATATGTTGAAGTCCCTGGTAGCTGTGGAAACCTCAAGTTCTAATATGTAACGTTTATCACTTTGTATGTTACCAAAAAGGGAGAGGAATCCCAGCCACCAGCTCCCGGGCTCCAGAGCCCAGCGGGAGTCCTGAGCTCCCGCAGCTCTTCCTACCCCAGGAGCCCCAAACAACAGGGCCCATCTCCTCAGAATGTCCGGTACCCACTCCCCATCACGGTGGAGCGAGGTCCTGGGGCCAGGCCTGGAGGAGTGGGGTGGGAGAGCCAGACCTCCCGGGACAGGGAGCTGTCCCTCCCTGCCCGCCTCAGCCTGCGCCTAACAGGAGAAACAGCCGAGCCTGACCACTCGCCTGAGGGTGATGGCCACCGCCGCTCAGTAGTTAAAAGGAGCCCCATCAGTGGGACAAATCAGTACAGTCTGAGCCAAATTTGGGCGTGCTAATCTTAGGTCATCCTCAGGACCTGCCAGTACCTTTGTGAGTCATTCCAAGAGTTTCAGTCTGAGCATGACAGGTGGATGCTCTTGGAGGGAGGCTCTGGGCTGAGGGAGCTGGGAGGTCATTCAAATCCCTATTTTGTTGGGGCTGTGATGATGTTATTGCCATCAAGGGCCACTTTCCAATGGGGTAAACTGGCAAAGTGGGGCTCAGCTGCACCAGCTCGAAAGCCCGCCGAGTCCACAGGTGTTCAAAGGCGCTTCTGGGTCGTTGCAGGCGTCGCTCGCCTTACTCCGAAGGTGCCCCTGAAATTGGGCTGGTTTATTCATCCAGCTCACTTGGCAATAGGAGGAGAGCTATAGGCTAACATGCGGGCCACCCATACAGAGATCTTCAGGGAAGACAGGTGCAAACTGTTCCTTCTTGGTGTATTGGCTTTCAGCACTTCTCCGTGCGCTGTGTGCAGAGCAAGCGCTTCCTCGGATCTCTCTGGAAGTCTCAGGTGGAGACCGCCAGAGATAAAACTGAAGCCCTAGGGAAACCCCTGGCCTAGCCCCGGCGCTTGCCTCTGGGAGTGACGCCCCCGGGCTGGTGGAGCTGGTCACGCCCAAGCTGTCATTCTCTGTGGCCATTTGGTCTTCTTTCACACTGATTTCACAACCCCCCCCCCCCCCGCCAAATCCTTGTCTTGTCCTAGCGGGGAACCAGAAGCCCTGTTGGAACATCCAGGAAGCTTTTGTCTCTGTCAGATGTAATGCTTTTTCTTAACTTGGGCATGACTAACCTTCCATTGTAAGGAAGTCTGAAATTCACCAGGTCACTACGCTAACCTTTCCTGTTTGTCCCCGTGGTCCCACGGCCAGGGGCCTGGGGCGGGACAATGGGCAGCTGGTGTGCTCTCTTTTCCAGGAGGGAGAGGCTCTGGGCAGAGTGAGATTTGCCTTTGTCAGCCTGACACCCTGGCGAGGCCAAGCAGAGGGCAGCACAAGGGAAGGGCTGGTTTGCCACGTGGTTTCCTTAACTCCAGACAGCTCCCAGGCACCCCCCCTTTGCTGGTTTTCTGGGGCTGGGGAGTAGGGGAAGGAGCCCCTACTTCTGCACGCTCTGGGATAAGGCAGATCTAGAGTCTCTGCCAAGAGTTTACTTTCAGCAGAGGTGACACCGAAGGTAATAAAGCAAGGACACGGGGACAGAGCAAGAGGAGAGGCAGACGTCCAGCCACAGTCCCTTATGCAGCTCTGCGAGCTCAGAAATGGGTGGAACTGGAAAGGACCTCACAGTCTGGCTGGGCAATGACAACACGGTCCTCGAGTGTTCCCGTTGCACCAGGCGCTATGCCAAGCACCCCATACGCACCATAACACTGGCATTCACCACAGCACCTTGTTCACAGACCAGGAAACCAAAGCTCAACTGGCATAAGGCGCTTGCCCAAGATGACTCAGCTAATCGGTGTGCCTGGATTCCAACCCACATTTGTCTGAGCCCGCACCCAGACTGCTTCCACGTTACCAGGCTGTCTGCTGAGGTGGAAACAGAAGCCTGGCGAGGAAGTTTGGCAGAGCTTGCCCAGGAGCAGGGGCCTAGCACCTCATGCAAGAAAGCCTTTGTAGACACCAAGAGAAGGCAGCAAAAACTGCAGTTGCTCTGGGCATTGCATGGGCGCCGCCCCTGCCTTGTGACCTCCCCTCCCTGCAGGTGGCAGGGCTCTGCTGCGAAGGTCCCCAGGGCCCCAGGAGGGGAGGGTTAGTCTTGGTTCTCCTGGGGCCAATGCCCCACCTATGCCCTGGAGGCCGCTTGCAGCTTGGAGGGGTGGGGGCCCCGGGTGGGGAGTGGGACACAGGCCGCCTGTAACTTGGTCTCAGTGCAGGGAGCTCTGCCACACAAGTCTGTTTGTGAACAAGACTCTGGCTTGTTAGCCCTTATCTTGGCTCTAGGGATCAAAGAGGACTTTTCCAGAGTCTGGGTGTCTGTCTGAACCATGTGACCAGGGTTCTCCAGTTCTGCTCAAAACCAGACCTTTTGTGGGGTCCTGGGGTCCTCGCAGGGCTGGTGGCTGTACCAGCCAGGACCACTTGCGGGTGCATCCTGGCTCCCAGCCACGTGGCTGGGGGGTCACCCTGTGGCTGTCCCGAGTCTAATTCCAGCTTCCTGGCCCCTGAGAAAACCCAGCACTTCCAGCAGGTGGCTGGTTGCGGCCCTGCGTCAGGCGGGCGCCCCACTCACAGGCCGGCTTCCTCCAGCAGCCTCCCTGCCCTGCCCTCCTGGCTGCCGGGAGGGAGGCAGCCTGGGGGGCCCTCACTTCTATTTCTGGCCCGATGCCACGCATTCACCTGGGCCCCCTTCTTGGTCTCTGCCCCCCACTTTTCCTTAAACGCCAGGTGGCTCTGGGGAGTGTGGTTCCGCTATGCCTTCTCGTCGCCCTCTCAACCCCGGCCCTGCTCAGCACTAAGAAGGGGCTGTGGGCCCTGCCGCCCCGTGGGACTACTCAGCCACGCGCTTGCTCAGAGAGCAGAAGGGACGTGCCTGGATGTTAGCTCAGGAGTGAAGTGGGTGGCCCAGGCCCCAGGGGTCCTGGGGTGGGCTGGGCTGCGAGGTGGCGTGCCAGGCTTCTCTGAGAAAGCCAGCTTCATGGGACGCGGGAGTCGTGTGCACACAGCGGTGGCGTTTGGGAATCTGGGGTAGACAGGGAGGAAGTCATTACGCCAAAGAGCTATTACTTTTCTAAAACTAAGAACAAGTCAAGGAGTCCTGTCCCGCTGGCCACACTGGTGCCAGGGCGGGCGGGGTGGGGAGGCTGGTCTGCCTGGCGGAGGTGAAGTGTGGCCGCCTCCACTCGGAGGGAGAGCGCCGCCCCTTCTCGGCTTGCCAGGCCGGGGAGAGGCGCGGCCGGCCAG